GTGATGAGTGGCACTGTCCCCTGCAGAAGCAGACCACCAGGCTGTGAACCTCACGTCCAGCTCCGTCCCTCATGGGCCCTCGAGGAGGGGCCTCGCTGGTCTCGTTTCTCAGGGTTGAGAACAGCCACCACCTGAGAGCTAAGCGTGCCTGGTGACCCACTATGCCCACCCTTTCCGGTGAGTGTGCCACAGGGTCCCTCCTGCCTCCCAGCTGCTCCATGAAGGGGTGTGTGGGTGCCGAGCCGGGACAGCCGAACCAGGGCACTGTGGGGAGGAGCCGTGTCCCTCGCTGCCGGGACGTAGATCTAAGCAAGCGGAGGGAACGGTCCCCGGGGCAACAGATCAGAGATGTCAGTGAAACTGCCATCTGACTGCTGCAGCAGAGGGCTACGGGAAGAAACACAGGTCCGTGGGCAGATAGAGCAAAAAGTTGAGTGTGTGTATACCGTCAGCTGAGTGGGCCTCAAAGAACCCCCAGCAGCCATGGGCACCCAGCCCGGGTCTTGGCTGCTAACACCGTTCTCCAATAAAAGGAGCCAGTGCTCCTCAGAGAGAGAGCTGATCTGAGGAGCAGGGCAGGAAACACAGAGTGGACTAGACCATCTGTGGTGCCAAAAAGTAAAGAAGTGTTTACAATAAAACCCCCTCAGCCAGGAGGGGTGCTCTTGTGGTCCCAGCTACTCAGGAGGCTGAGGTGGGAGGATCACCTGGGCCCATGAGTCCCAGACCAGCCTGGGCAACAGAGTGGGACCCTGTCTTAAAGTAACAACGAGAAGCTCCATGATGGGGACACATGGAAGCGCCCCCAGTGGCCAGAGCTGGAAAACTGGAGCAAGGAAATAGTGAGGCTTAGGACCCAGCCTATAAAGTCGGCGTCCCCAAGTCCACGAGGACACCTGAATAAATCATGCATGAAGAAGGGGCGAATCTCCCAGGCAAAAAAAAATAGAATAAAGGATGGGGCGCTCCCTCCCACATCAGCAGTGCCCACTGCAGAGGGACTCTCCAGGGGAGACAGTAGGAATGGGGGCAGGGTGACCGACAGGAGACACCAACACCTGCCCTGACCCAGATCTGCACCAGCAGTGACGGGTCCTGTTGAGAGTGCACCCTGCCAAGGCAAGAACCTTGCTCTGCCCTGATGGTTCTCCCCAGGACCCAGAGTGCAGCCAGGTGAGAGCCATGCAGGTTCCAACCCAGCCACCCGGCACAACCCACCATACCCTCACAACTGTCCAGGCCACCGTCTCAGCCAGGAGGAGCCTAAGGAGACACAACCTCCAAGTGTCCGAGGGGTGGTGTCCTGGAGCCAGAGAGGATGTTAGGAAAACCAGATAAAGTTCAAAATCTGAGAAAGAGGGGAGGGGGAGGGGGGAAGGAGAAGTGGAGGGAGGGAGAAGAGAATGGGGGCAGGAAGAGAAGAGGGGGAGGGGGAGGAGAAGAGAGGAGGAGATCTTAGGAGCTGGCCGGAGCTGGTCCATCTGCAAGCTAGATACACACGTCCAGTTAAACGTCTGAAGAGCAGCAGCCAGCCTCAGCAGCGCACTCTCCCTGTGAAGGACACCAGGACAGACACCGGGAGTGGCCTCTTCCCTGTCTCACCTCGAGCTTCCATCCTGGTGCCCAGCGAGGCCACCAGAGCTGAACTTGCCAGGTCCAAAGGAAGCAGCTCCTGGAGACGCCCCGCCCAGCCAGTTCCTCCCACCCCTTCCAGAGGCACCCGCACATGTGCACAGCCCTCCGAAAAGGAAGGCTGACTGTCCTGTGCCTGGCGACAGTTCTCATATTCCTCAAAATCACGGGCAGCGGCATTAAGAGCAAAACTGCACACAGGACGCCGCTTTCCCGTGAATCCTTTTCCTTTGACGCAACTCTTTCAGAAGAGGCTCCTGATCACTCCTCCTGCAGAGCAGCTGCCAGCAGCACCTCACCTGGGCTGTGGGTGGCCGCCCACTGCTGACCCTCAGCTCACGATCTGCAGGGGCACTTCCTCTCCCCCCACCACTCTGCGCCCCACTTCCTAAGCATCATCTCCCCCAAAGGTGGTCAAACACTCTGCCTAAAGCCCCATAACCAATTCAGCCAGCAGACACCGAAGCCCAAAGCCCCACACTCCCTCCAAGAACCAAGCTGACCTCCTAAAGCTACCATCTATTGTGCACCAACTACGTACCAGCACTTCCTTTGGCATCACCTCTGCCACTGTCCCCTCAGCTGGAGTCACAAGCAGGAATCTGGGAAGGAAGAGGCACTCTGTGGTGCACGTGTCACTTTTCACTGCCAGGCATTCCTCAGAGGGTAGGGCTTCAGCTGGGAAGCCACACAGGAGGGGGCACAGGGAACCCCACCCTTCCCAGCTCACCCCTAGGAGCCCCGACTCCCCGCTCCACCAGCAGACTGACCTGTGGGGTGTCCTGCCAAATGCAGAGGTAACTCGCGGACGCCCTGCCTCCCTTCCATGGCCAAAGGCCAAGGCAGAAGCGGGCAAGGCAGTAGGAAGATGTGGGTCCCATGATGGCACTGACCAGCCCTGTGTTGCAGCCTGTCACGATGGAGGTCACCTGCTCATGCATGGGAGGGACCAGCCTCACCCAGGGTGGGACCCCACTTGTGGGTGCTGTCTTATTCCTAAGTCTAGCCTTAGAAAATTCGATTTCATCTGTGGGATTCCTGGGTCTTCCACACCTCGCTCCTGCCCAGAGGAGCTCACTGGTGGCAGCTGGGTGCCAAGGTGACTTGTACACCCAAGAGACGGCTTTCCTCCGTGACTTTCCTGCAGGGAAAAACTGGGTGATGGGATGGAACGAGGGGATGACATGAGGGGCTGCTCCACTCGACCTGGGTCAGCAGGCATCCACCCGTCTGAAGCCTGAAGAGCCACCCAACTCCCACGAGAGCATGGCGGCCACCACCAGGGCACAACCTGGGAAGTCCAGATCCCGTCCCCAGTGCCCTGACCTTGTCTACACCCCAAGGACACAGACAGGAAGGTGCAGCAGGGAGCTGTCTTTGCAGCCAGACAGACCCACACGTGTCTTACTCTGGCCACCAAGACACTCTGGCCTCAGAAGCCCTTCCCGCAGCATGGGCCTTGAGTCCCCATCCTTGACTAGGTGCCTCCAGACCCTCCTCCCAAGAGGACCCACGGGACCCAGTAAACACAGAGGGAGCCGAGAAGGGAGGACAGAATGCCTGAACCATGCGGAACCGCAGTCAGGAGCAACGGTCCATGGGCAGCCCTCCTGAGGGAGGCGTTCTCCACCCAGAGCCTCCAGGGAAGGCACCAATGAGCCTGCGACCAGAAGGCACTCCCGCGAGCAGGGCTGCACTGCACCCTCCAGCCAGCTCTGGAGCACAGGCTGGACGGACCCACAAGTGGGAAGTGTGTCCAGCTGAGACACCACCCAGAACAGGGTGCCAAGAAGCCAGGACCCCAGCATCGTTTTATCCTTCCCCACGGGCAGCCCCGGGGGCTGAGGAGAAAGCTGCTGCTTGACGGGCGTCCCTCAAGGGGCCCAGCACATGCAGGACCAGTTAGAGGTTGTGACACAAGAGGCTGCAGAGGACTGGTTGCCTAGCACACGAGGCACTGGGTTCGATCCCCAATACCACATAGAAATAATAAATGGAGGTACTGTGTCCTTCTATAACTAAAAAAATAAAATAAAATTTTAAAGGCTGCAAGGCCAACTACTCAGAAAAACTGGCATACAAGGAGCTCAAAGTGACGACTTCTAGGGCATCAGATACAGGGCAACATGAGTACGTGGCATTGGTGTGCTCTCCGCACGCACCAGCCACCAGACACGCGGCCAGTCAAGAAAACGAGGGCCTGGTGCTCGGAGGTGGAAAATCGAATCATAACATTCAGGAGGAAAGGAGTTTGGAATTCACCCCCACCACCCTCTTCAAGCTCCAACTGCACACCCAACATCACAGGACACCTTTCCTCCACAGCTTCAAAGAAAGAGCCCAGGGTCTCTCTGGGTGGCGTGTTTCCTAGATTATCACAGCAGATGCACATCTTGGAAAATACATACAACTTCTGCCCCTACAAAGGCAAATTCCCACAAATCAACGAAAAGCAATCAAACTGTCTCGCATTCAGTTTCCAATGCGCTGTTGTAAAACAAGTCTGGACCCCGGGGATCCTTTGCACAGGCGAGGCTCAGTAGGGGTCTCGGCACACGTGCAGGGCTGCCTGGCACTGCCTCAATGCCAGGCTTCACCACACACCCGAGCACACTCACTTCACAGGTGCAGGTGAACCAGGCCTGCAGCAACCCAGCAACCAGACCACAGGCCTTCACAAAATTAGCAAACACGCCCCACAGAAAGCAGAACCACTGCCCGCGCACCCTGTTATCCCCACTGGCTTCCACCCCGCTCTGCCTCCTTGTCTAGCCTGCTGACTCTCAGTTGAATTCCTAAGAAAGGCCTGAGCGTGATGGCGCACACCTGGAATCCCAAGCTTGGGAGGCAGAGGAGGATCACAAGTTCAGAGCCAGACTCAGCAACTGCGAGGTACTAAGCAACTCAGTGAGACCCTGTCTCTAAATAAAATACAAATTAGGGCTGGGGATGTGCTCAGTGGTCTAGGGCCCCTGAGTTCAATCCTCGGTACCCCACATACACACTAAAAAAGTTCCTAAGAAAGCAGAAATTGCCCTCTATGACTCCTCTGTCTGGAAGCTTCTAGATCAAGAGTATCCACCACCCTCCACAGCAGAACTGCAAGCGGGGTTCTGTGGCAATTGGGAACACGAGGCCCCAACAGACCTGAGCAGAACCAGACCAACAGCTTGACTGCCATCATGGGTTTTCAAGCCACAGACTGGACTCACAGCTCAGCAATGGGCCAGTCTACGTATTCTGGAACCTGCATGGATTTGATGTGGCTTGAAAGAAACGGAAGCCGGCCAGGCTCACCAGCAGTTTCCCCAGCAAGCAGCCCCTGGGGCTCACATAAAATCCCAATCAGTCCAGTCTCCACACCACGATTTTCCCCAAAATCATCTTTAATAAAATGTGTAGCGCACATTGTTTCAACCAATATAAAATAGGCATTCCTGATTTCGTATAAATTAAACGTGGAGAATCATTATCACAATGTGTCAAAGTGCAAGTACCAAAGGGGAGGACCACAAGGAGATCACAGTGAAAGTTCCAGAACAGCAGCAAGCATAAAGCTGCCCAGCACGGTGGCCATGGAGGGTGCAGGACAGGTCTCAGGCAGGGGACAGACCTGAGGACGGGAGCCAACCGCAGGTGGGACCTGGGACGCAGAGGCAGCGGGCAAGGCAGCATCCATGTCCTGGCCCTGCAGTTTCTGTGGCGCGTTCCTGTCCCCACCTCCTGGCACACTGAGGCGCCTGTGCACGCTGATCTTCATCAGTGACTAGTAGCACTCCTCGTGCGTCGCACTATACAGAGACTCCCTGACTTCTTGTGCTCTTTTCTGACCCCAGCTGGCTTCCCACGTGCACAGACCAAGGGTCAGGAAGGCCTTCTGCAGGTCAGGCACAGCACCCGGATCTGGTCCGTTCGGTGGGCTTACAGCTGGTTACATCCACAGTCTGTGGCGGCCCCTCAGCCCTCTGCTGTAAGATCATTGGCACCACCATGTCAAACAGGGTTTCAAACAGGAGGTCCACGTTGTACCCCGTCTTGGCGCTGGTCTCGAAGCACATCTGCTCAGCAGCCGGCACGTCCTTCTCGTCCAGCATCTTGTACTTGAGGATCTTTTTATAAAGGGCCATCGCATCCTCCAGCTGCACCTGCTTGGGCACCCTGGGGGAAGCACAGCCTCCCCCAGCCTTGCTGGGGTTATGCCCCTCCTTTTCCCCACTCTCTGTGGCCCCCTCCTCGGTGAGGTCCACTTTGTTCCCCACGATGGCAAATAGGCAGTCTTTGCTGGCCGTGTCCGTCAGGCCCAGGAACCTGTCCTCCAGCTCCACCAGGCTCTGCAGGTGGTTTACGTCGTAGGTGAGGATGACAGCGGCTGCCCCCCGGCAGTACATTGAGCCCAAGCCGTGGAACTGCTCTCTCCCTGGTGGGAAGACAGGGGAAGACAGATGGGTTATTGCTCATCTCAGGACATCACACCCTGCCACACTGCACAGAGCTCCCCCACGCTGCCCCCAAAGGAACCGACCTCCAGACGTGGCTGGAACTGGGACTGAGGCATCAATGACCAGAAGGAGGTGACCATCCAGGACCCCATGTCCAGGTAGAAGCCAGCCCAGGAAAGCAGGTAACTGACTAGGGCTCAAGCTTCCCACTGAAGCTGACCCAGCAGCCCAGGCCTCTGGAATTCTAACAGAAGCTGTTTAAGCAATGCTACCTGCATGATCTCAGTTCTTGCTATCACAGTCTGTGCCAGGTTCTAAAATGGCACCAAGCAAGTCTGTTGCTAAGAAAATTCTGTTACCTCTGCCTGCAGCATGACCTTGTGGAGAACAGTTTGAAGGACACTCTTCAAGGCAGGAGCAAACCCAAGTCCAAACAGGCCTCCCTGGGACAGGTTCACACTCACAACACACACAGGGGAGGCTCCAGCAGGTAGAGCCGTGCCACCCACAGCTCACTGGGGTGTCCCTGGGACCTTGGCACATTCGCTGCACACAGGGACAGGCTCTTAGGAAGCCACCATACATGATGTGCATGTCCTTCTATGAACACGGGCAGTGAACTGCAGAAGAGGTCATGAGGCTCACTTCTCACCCACAGGAGTGACCATGCTTCCAGGCTCATGATGGCTGCTGCAGACACCTCCCTGAAGTCATGGTCATCACCACTCCAAAGTCACAGCAGCCACTGGACCTGCTGCTGGACCTCACTATTGATCAGGTTAACAGTGAAACACAAATGAACATGCCCTCCACTCCCCACTCTCTGAGTGACCTGGGGAGAGGCGAGCTGGATGAGGAGCCTGGCTGGTTTGGCAGGAGCTGGAGGTGTGTACCCTTAGGCAGGTCCTACAGCCAAAACGTGGCGTCTCTCAGGGTCCCAGGCTGCCTCCCTCTTTGGGAAGAGCCATCTTGGGCAGAGTTGTGTAGTTTGTGGCACAGAGCCACCGGAGGCAAGCGGTGAGCTCTCTGGAATCCAGCACCCAAAGAGCAAGTTCCTTCCCTGAGCTCACCTCGCAGGATCATTGTGGACGGGCAGTTCCTCCCAGGCTTCAAGTCACGTTATGTTGGACACCGCCAGGCAGGCTGTCCTGTCTGTTCCCCACGATGGAAGACAATGACCAAGACCCTACAGAAACTGGCAACTGCAGACATTTAGAAAAGGAGAGCCCAGGTGCTGTGGCACATGTCCTCAAGCCTAGCAACCCAGAGGGCAGAGGCAGGAGGATCCAAGTTTGAGGCCAGCCTCAGCAACTTAGTGAGGCACTCAGAACTCAGTGAGACCCTGCCTCAAAATTAAAAAGGCTGGGGACATGGCTCAATGGTAAAGCACCCCTGGGTTCAATCCCTAGTAATTAATAAACAAAAAGAAGTGAAAGGCTTCCCCATGGTTGCCACAAGCCAGGAATTATTTCAGATACCCTGATCCTGTAGACAGCAACCCAGGATCATGAGGTTTCCAACTGTGAAAAATGTCATCAGCTCCTACCACCAGATTTCACAAGAGCAACTAAGGAACAGGGACATTCTTCCACTGACCCTGGAAGAATTTTTTTCAAGTCTCTGTTACATAGTTCATTCGGGACAAAAAGAGAACTCTGTTAATGCGTGTGCCTAAAACAGCGTTTTCCACTCGCCTTAAAAAAAAAAAAAAAAAAACACTAAAAAAATGAAATAACTGTTTCAAAAAAACATTGGAGCAACTACAGAAAAAACAGGAATCCCAAATGCCAGCCAGCATGGGGCATATATAGGGGCTGCCACTCAATCCACATAATATGTTGACCACTCCTCTCACCAGTATAAGCAAACTAAATGCAGTTACCAAGCTAAAGAATTTACAAGCCAAGCTTGTAAATTTACAATTTACAATAGTTTCCATGCCTGAAATTCTTAAATACTGTTTTAGATGTAATCTGTAGCCTTTAAAGGATCGCTCAGGGAATTCCCGGGCTGCTCTCAGGTGTCCTAAGCTAGCTATTTATTCTGGCAATGCAGGGCAAGTCTACAACAGGACAGGCTGGTCTACAGGAGCGCTTACTGGTGCTGAACTTACTGCTAAGTGAATGTCAGTGGGAACCCTGGTTGCTATTTCAAGCATGAAAAGCAATGAAGATAAATTGGTAAGTCACCAAGACCTGAACTGTCACATCGGCTTTGCCAAATCTGCAGTGCATTTGAAGCCAAGCCTCCTAATAAGTTCCCCAGTGGTTTGTGAATGCAAGCTGAGCCAGAAAGCCAGGCACCGGCTGCTCACCTGCTACGAGCGGCCCCTCCACCTCTCCGGACACCGACTTCCTGTCTGCAAGGACAAGCTTGCACTGGGCAGTTTGTGAGTCCTCCCCTTATAACAGATCATCTCACCCTTGCCCTCTTAAATATCCATTCTGACACTGAAGCTCCCGGAATCCCAGTAGTTTCTTTCACTTGAGCTTCCCTGGGAACTAACCCGTCTCCTGGGCCAGAACACAACAGAAAAGTCTCAAGTTGGTTCAAGTTCAGCCAACACAGCAGAGGGTCAGAGCTGAGGAGCCAGGTCAGCGGAGCCAGGCTGGCAAGAGTGGCCCAGCCACTGCCCACGGGGCCCAATGGAAGCTGCAGCCCATGACTCCCCCAAGTTCACCCGAGTCAGTGTTCAACTTGTTCAGGAAACACTTCCAGAATGGTCCGTTCAGCCCCACGTCACCAACTCAGGCTTGTTTTGTTGCTCGTCCCCGGGGAAAGGAAAACTGGGATCTGTAACAGTGCTCCGGTTCCTGCTCAGGCATGCTGCTGGGAAGACTCCAGACCTAAAGCAGAACTGACTGGAAGCTCACCAGGGAGTCCAGAGCAGCTGCAGAGGGGCCAGCACGGGGGTCCACTGGGCTACCCAGCCCAGCTCGGTTTTTCAGATTCACAGATCTAACACTGCAGTTGTGTGAATTCCATTCAGTGTGTGTGATGGAAGTCTGTCTGGCCCGGGAAGGAACTGGGAACCAGAAGACCAGCTTTGTCATTCTGATGGGGAAGGAACTGCTCGTCCCCACAATCACTTCCCTAAACCAGGTATAGGAGATTCCTGGTTAGTGACAGAGCTACGTGTGGTCAGTGGTGGGTCCTCCAGGTTTGTTACACTTACACAGTTTCCCCAGCACCACGAAGTGGGCCTTCCCCTTCCCTGACTTCACCCAGGAAGAAACCCAGGCACAGGACAGAGCAGGCAGGAGGAATGGAGCCCAGACAAGACACTGCTCCAGACAACCCGGGGAGTTGGGTTGGGTCCAACCTCCCTCTCAACAGGAGCGAGGCAACGGGGTCTTGAAGTGGCACATTCTGGCAGGAGAAAAGCCTGTCCCTGTCCCCTGTCCCCTGATGGTCATTCTGCCAGGAACATGGGCATTAATGGTGAGTGGCCATCTACCTAGAAGTTCCAAAATGCAGGCAAAGATCCATCCTGGGGGTGGCGCGGGCAGGGTGTACTAAAGAGACAGATTCCAGAGAAGTCTAGAGTCAGTCCCCACAGTGTGAGCCTGGACAAGACACAAAGCCATTAGGAGCCTCCATTTCCCCAGAGCACCTGTGAAAATTGGCAGAGAAATCGAATCAAGTCACATGGGCAGACTGCTTAGGACCGTGCCTGGCATGCGCTAAGCCCGATTTGAGAGTTTGTTAAATAAACTGAGTTAGATTCCTCCCAGACCCAGACAGACCCCGCCTGTGGTCTCCTCATCAGTACAAACGGTCTCCACGTTTGCAGCCAACGGAGCCCTGCATTTTTCTTATTCTCAGAGGATGACCTTCTCCCTGGTCCTGGTCCTGGTCCTGGAGGTTGAAAAATGGTCCAGACACAGATGAGGAAAACGGGAGTCACAGCCTCAGCAACCCAGTCGCCATCGGAGCACTGACACCGCCGACGGCTCCCTGCTTTACTGCCCAGCCTCCCCAAAGCCAGCCAGGCTCACCAGCGCATCTGCGATTTCTGTCTAAAAGGTCTAACACCACTGACATGTGGATAAGGCCAGAAATCACACCACCCCGCCACACGTTCTAGACATTGGGTGGGTAAGCCATCAAAACACTGACACTCAGACCCCACATGGAGAGGGCTCAGGGGCTCCCCAGCTGGCCGTGACCCCAGAACAGGAGTCTCCAGCTTCCCTTCTGAAAGCAGAAGTGAAAGGCAGCTACAGGGCTGGGGGGCTCACATGGCAGAGGACCTGCCGAACACCGTGAGGCCTGGGTCACATCCCAGCACCCCAGATAAATAGACAACTAGTGAAAGGGGACCGGGACATGCACTGCTGTGGTTCAGCTGACACGTAGTCGCAAACGCAGGAGGAAAAGAACCCAGAACCGCTTCTCCCAGTCTCAATCCCTTGGCCCACTGGCAGGACACTCGCAAAGCCATCACGGGCAATGAGAAGAAGGTGACACACAGATGCACACACCCAGAGAGGGGACAAAATACAAACGCCAGAGCCAGGGCCGCGGCAAAGAGCAAGAGGGCTTGCTGTCCTGCGGGGATATTTTTAAACAAAACCTGTCCCCGACGTTCTCAGTTTCCACCCACAAATGCTGCCAGGAAGGTCCCCGTGGTTCCATCTCAGGGTCTGATGAGCTGCGACGGAAGTTCACAGCCCGGACCCCCGTCCACACGTCCACGGGTGAGGGTTCCCCAATCCCTCCGCGGCTATGCTCCAACCGCCTGACAGGAACGGTCCAAGGGAGCAACACCCCCAGGAACGCTGGCCAAGAAGAGATGGTTAAGGCTCTTAGTGTCACAGGAAGAAAGGGGTGACACCTTCCCTCAGGCTCATGAAAACAGTTGGGCTTCCTGGGCCCTTGTGGGACACAGCCACTGCCCCCAGGGGGAAGAGAGTGAGAGGCCAGTGGGGTGAGGGCCTTTCTGGGGGACTGAGCACTCTAGATGAACGGCCAACCG